ATCACCCCGCCTTCTTCCTCGAGGGACGACATCGGGGTTTCGCCGCATTTTTACGCCTGGGGGAAGTGGGCCCCCCTGACTTACCAGTACGGGGCCCCCTCGGACTTCATGGAGAACATGTACGGCGTCAGCCTTTCCATTCCGAGGTATAATTATTTTTATTTAAGGATATTTTTTTTTTCTTCTTTTGGGTCGCCCCGGTGGCCTAGTGGTTTTTGCCCTTGCAAAACTTTTTAGAGAGGGGGATAGCAGGTTGGGGATTTTTTTCTCTCTCTCTCTCTCTCTCTCTCTCTTTCTCTCTTTGGGAAATCCCCCCCCCCCCCCGCGATATCTAAGGAAAGAAACCGAGGATAAGGAGGGTCTAGAAGTGTACGGAATGTTGAAAGAAGGAATAGGGTTCAAGGATTACCTACATGGACCAATGGATGCAGGGACAAAGCTTAAGGTCAAACTCAGGACCGGGGACATAGGCCTTCGAGAACGTCGACGAAGACATAGGACGGTAGACGACGAAGACGACAAGTTCAAATGTGATCGCGGCTTCGAATGCGAAGACCGTGTTCATGTAGTCGCGGAATGTCCGTGGTACGAAGAGGAGAGGGAAGTGTACATGACTGAGCTGGGAAAAATACAAGGGACGTATAGGGAGATGTTTGAGGCATGGAATAGAGAGGAGAGGACGGTAGCTGTACTAGGGAGTAGGAAGTGGTTCGAAAAGGCGGGAAGGGATATCGTTAGGATAGACAGACTAGGGAACACATTTTTGAAACACCTTTGGCAAAGTAGGAAGGAACGATTGGCCATCGGTGATCGGTCCTGTGGGAACATATGCTCCGTCGAGGACGCGTGGTCAATGGTCTAACCGCTAAGGCATGCAAAACATAAGAGTACGCCCCCCCCCCGCCCCCCTCGCGATATGCGTTGGGAAAACGACAAGTTTGGTGGGTATACAAAGCGGTCGACGAGGGAAAGAGACGGCTGCGGCCGCACCCTTCTCGCGATAAAAAGCAAGGCAAGCAAGTGCCGCAGGACGACATCTTGTCGTCGTCTTCGCGCTTGAAAAATGGTTGCCACACCGTTCTCTTCCGTACCGTACACGTCGGACCCTATTCATATCATGCCACAACCCCTGTCCCATTTTCGTTTCCGCGTTTGCCGCGAAATTGCTGGTGCGATATATTACCACGACAAATTCGTCTCTACGGTTCCCTTTCGCCTCCTCGCCGGGGTCTCGGTGCCGACCATTCCCCTGCTGGCCTACCGTACCACCCTGCTGTCCCAAACTGCGTCGTCAACCGTTTTGTGGCGCAACGAGCGCACCATGACCGTAATGTGCGTGTGTGTGTGCTGTGTGCTTCCAATGAAGGGTCGACGAGCTGAACAAGAAGCGGCACGTGTACGACAGCAACAAGCTCATCGCTTCCATTCCGGGCGGGGCGAAGTACATGCCCTACCTGCACCAGCTGCCCTGCAGGTATGCCCCCCTCCACCCCCTCTGTGTTTGCCATCGGGATTGAGTTTTCGTCGCCAGGCAACGACGTTGTAAAACATGCCAAGTCACTTCGTGAGCTCGGCAACCAAGTTACCGGGTTTTTTTTTTTACCTCTTTTTTTTTTGCGGTAACCACAATGGTGATCGAGTGGATCATGTTGTGCGGGGTCGAGAACCCTCACTCCGCGCAAGGGGGATAATCGCACCACGTTGTGTTAAAATGGTCAAGCTTCCTCGAGGCGCTAATAACTGTCTCTGCAAGTAAAAGCACCAGATAATAAATTAAGTCAGAAGCGGCTGCCATCCGTACGCAAGAAAATAACCACAACATGGCGAACACCCTTAGCAGGATGCAGTGCACCCTTCATGCGACTCGCCGAATACCTCACGGCGCTTCGCGCTTGGTGATGTGAGAGCCTGGTCCGGTGAGAACCCGGCTCCTCCGTCCCGGCTTTGTAGGGATGCGAGGTCAACGGTCTGGCGACTACGGCATGCACGACTATGAGTACCCCCCACCCCCCTTGCCTTCCCGGTGCGAGACGTAAAAGACTGCTTGCTTCCGAATGCAAAGCGCTGTGGTATCCAAACAGTTAGAATTGTGATCAGTCACTGAAACGATGAGTATTGTGTCTCATGCTCGAATTTGTTGTGAATTACGGGGTCCGTCGGGGACAGTCGAAAGAAGATCGGAGGAAATGCGCACCCCTCCGTCTTCCGTGCCTACCCTTACCCCTAAGGTATAAGGAAATGTCTTGACTTTCGATTGAGTAGTAAGTACTTCTGTCCTCGTGCTTGAGTTGCCGAGCCTTGGAGACAGTTGTACAGACGGAGGATTTTTCATCCCTCCGTCTTCCTTCCCTACTGTTGACCCTAAGTGAATCAATAGTCCCTTCCAAGAGTAGCTTCTGTCTCATGTCTCATGCTTGAGGTACCGAGTCGGTTTGAGGCCGTTGGGAAGACCGGACGATTTTGAACACCCCCCC